AGTCAGCTGTCGGAAGTACTACAAATATCCATGCCAGAGGACTGTCACTGCGCATAATTTCCCGGAGTAGGACGGCTGTTGATTCAGTCCTGATGAAATCGCAATGGTTTGCACTGCTGTTAAAGGCGTAAATCATCGTAGGCAGAAGGGTCGTGGATCCTTGCTCACCTTATACCGGAGTGTTGACTCCATTGAGGTTTTCCCGTCTTCCGCTACACTGACGCATACACCAATTGCAGCTTCGCGCTTCCGTAGCGACACGTCGATCCTTATGTAGATTACCACCGCCACCAACAACGGGACTAAGTAAAATATTAACAAATCCGCGCCAGAGATGTGCATGTACTGTAGTACGCCTGCGTTAAGCGAAAATCACAGATTTTCCTATCTGTGCCTTCGATGGTCTTCACTTCGGTCAGACCAAGCCACGGTGAACAGTAGACGGCGGCGGCGATCCATAAGTAGAAAATAATTTTGCGCGTGCGCTCCACGGTGCACACTTTGCGTGCTAACAATGGACAGCAGATGGCGACGTAACGCTCAAAGGTCATCATAGACATGCTGTGCAACGAACATCATTTTATTTACGTATTCATACAGGCGTAGATTTAAGGTTATAGTACTATTGCGAGACTTTTATAGTACGCCTGAAGCGGTTTAAAGTTAAGCTTATGGAACCGTGTTTCACTAATAATTCCGACAAACGGAATTTGTGCTAGAACATCGAAATGGTTTGACGGTACAATGTCAAAAAAAACCAAATGACTCCTGACTCTGATTGTGTTTTAGCGAACGTGTGTAGCCGGCAAGAATGTTAACATGTTCACGGTTCACGCTGTGAGCATATTTGCCGGGCGAAAATGCTTGTGAGCATTTTTGACGGGCGAAAATGCTCACGAATGATATTATGCAGATTATGTGCAAATTTTTCCTGCAATATGACTAAGACAGCACATTTCAGAGATGATTGTGAATATGAGTTTCCGCCGCTGAAATACATTTTCGCTGAAAATACAATAATTAAGGTACGTGTCCCGGCAACGGTACTAAGTGTGTTTACATCTGCTGACACTTGATCTATTTCGCGCACAACGAAACACTATTTTGTACTGCTTTCAGGTTCTGATTTGTATGCTTACATTGGATAAAAAAACTAGGTCCACTTTCTCGTTTAAAATCAATTAAAAAAAAAATATCAGTGCAATTTTTGAGGAAGTACAACGGCACAGATTTTTATTCAGAATCACCTATGTACATATTTATCACTCGTAATGGACAAAGTAAAACTCTGTTTCTGGCACACACTTAACCGTTTACATTTTCTTATACAGTAATTTCCAACTTCTATTTTGAACAAGCGGATGTTGCGCGCGCGGAGGTTTTTGAGACGATTATGCATATCGCTGGGGGTAGATAAGTTTCATTGCGGTGCGGGTAACCCGTTTACCGGCTGTGTTTTACATAGGTACACAGCATGGTAATTTACACGTGGCCAAGTCTTCATGTTATTCTGTATCCAACAAGCATCATAGCGCAAAGCAGAAGTATACAGAGCACACTGCACGCTTGTCTTCAATGTGCGCTCCTGTACAACATAAAAAGCAGATGTTGCTTGTTTTTACTTCGGAAGACCGATGAATAGCGTATATGTTTTCTCATATTATTGTGTTCATGGTCTCTGGCAAGGGATGCTTAAGTTGTAGGATCTATGCGGTAATCTGATACCGCTTACATTTGCCGCTCTCGTATGCAGATCAGATGCGCTTTTTCTCTACATGGCGGCGGTTCATATTACATTCGTGAACATGGGCGCCGGGCAGGGATGCTCACGTTTGTGAGCACGCGTGCCGGGCCGGGATGTTCACGCTTGTAAGTGCACGGCAATCGGTAAACGATGGTACTGTGGTACTAAATTCCGCACCATTTCGTAAAGCCTGATACACTAGAGCTGTATATGGGGTTCAGCGTTCACTGAACGCGCTGAACAGCGTCAGGCTGCCAGTAGCAAAGGGTAGAGCGTAATGGCGTTGCTCACTTTTGAAAAATCGTTCCTGCTTCAAAACGGTTCTCCACCAAGATTTACAGATGTGAATCTAATCAAAATAAATTTTTACTATTTATGGTTACCAAACATACTAACTGTATCACGTATTATCTAACTGCTAGTTCGAATGCTTTGTCGTACCCGCGTATACTACTGAATATGAATTATTTCAAATTGCGCGTTCAGCCAGTTCATAAGCCTGTAGACATTGAACCCACTGAACTCTAAAGCCATCCATACAGCGCTTGTCAGGCATGCTGTACGAAAAAGTGCGGAATTCACTCGGCACCACAGTAATTGAACCGCTCTCATTATAAACTGCTGCGTTAATACTCTGTTAAAGTTAATTGAGCCAAATGATTCACGTATTAAACTTATAACAGTTCGCGCGCGCAACTATCGTTGCTCATTGTCAGATAGAACAAACGAAAAATACTTTTTCAGAACAGTGAAACCCTTAACGATTTGCCGAAAATAAAACTTTAAGCTATCTTTCTGTGGTTTTAATGGCACTAATAAAAACATACAGACTAGAGAAATTATTCTGACCTGTTTCCTTGCACTTTCCTAAAACGTTTACTGATAATTTTTAAATTATGTTTCGCCATATCTCGAACTGGATTCTGCGCGCATTGACCTGCATGTTCTGATTCGTGAGCATTTTCTCCCGTCAAAAATGCTCACAAGCATTTTCGCCCGGCAAATATGCTCACACCGTGAACCGGGAACATGTTAACATTCTTGCCGGCTACAAACGTTCTCGTGCATATTACACAAATATGGTATTGAAAGTACATAATAACATGAGTAAGAACAGAGCACGTACAGGAAAAGCTGAGAGCAAGTACAGTACTCCGGATTCAAGCGAGTAGAATGATGCCCCTACACTAGATATATCGCAGTGTCAAATTGTACTCGGCAGTTAGATCACCACTGCAGAGGCCTCTGTAAATACGTATTTACGTAAATACGTAGCAGCCTGGCGGATGGCGTATACACCATCCGCCAGGCTGCTACGGTTGTTTTAATTATTCTCAGTAGCTGTGAATACCTCGAAGTATTGGTGTTCTGAATGATTCGCGTGCAACAGCTGCGTAAAATCCACTAACGTCAACAACAGTTTGTAATATTACGGTATTTATCTATATCAGCTAGGCCACGCTCTATGATCATTTGCAAATGAAATTATTTTAAATCATTCTAAGGTAGAATTCTACCACTCTACGATAATTCAGGATTTTCTGAACTTAGACCCGGGAAATGGGCCCTGGTAAGAGCAAATCCCGATTCGGGACCTTCTCTTTACTGTATATCACGCATATTCGGGAATCCCAAATATTTTATACTTGTTCTGGTAAATATTAATACTAACTACCTTGCGACACCGGCATTAATCCCAAAGAAATTGAGGAAGACGAAGAGGGAACAGCACACTTGGCCAAGAAACCATTGATTTCCATAATGATACGAAACAATAGCTTCCGGAATAGCCGTTAAACAGACCAGTAGATCGGCATAAGCCATCGCCACCTGCGAACATTACCGACAGAATAAGAACTTCGAGTTAACCCATGATCAAAGAGCATCGATATATCAATACCAAAAATCACAATTTAATTCCCTGGCTAATGCCTTTCTGTTATTGCAATTTTTAATGGTATTCGATATCGCAATTGCGGAAAGTACACGTATATCCTATTACTTTAACTGAGGCATGTCAAGAATCTCTAGCAGTAACATTTACCATTACTGCAATGGGCAAACAAGGTTGTAAACTTTACGCACTTTATTGGTCAAATCATACTTGGGGGCAAAGTAAAGAAAGAAACATGCATACTACAACAAGAAAATCTCATTTAATTTATCCAGCCCTTCCATCGTGCCAAGCACTGACGCCGCGTTACCCCGCTGAATCTCTATCGACAAGCGCTGTCTTGAAAATTCATGCGAGCGTGCTTCGCCAGTTTGCTGCTGAAGTCTCTTCCCCGGGTGCGAACCATATCACAGAAAGCTGTCTGCGCCTAGAAGTGGTGAAAGCGTTTTCGGGCGGTCACTCTGGGTTGTGGTTCGAACAGCATGTCCAGGGCCCGTGTGTTGCCTGAGGTAGATTTCATACGAGATTTCGGGCATCTTTGTGCTGCTGTCGGGCCGCGGAATATATTAAGCAAACAGTCAGTGTAAAAATTACATTGGGGGAAACAGGATGACTTTCGACTGTACAAGCCTTCACCGCGCGAATTAAGAGTGGGCGTTAAGCGGTAATCACCAAGTTCCTGGCGAACGATGTGTCATTCAAATGTCAAATTAGGGAATTATTCGTCTGATTTTCTATTTTAAATTCACTCACAACTCTGTAAAAAATGCCTCATTATCTGGGAAATGACGCGACAGTGCTTACGCAAAATGGATACCATCGGCACATTCATCCCAACGTGGCACACGGAAAGAAGTGCGCCATCACATATTTTAGTCAAGCAGATATCCATGATAGAATGCCAGTAAAAAAGTTCGCACCTACAGTTTACACAGTAATACAAAATGCATTAATTAAATTTTCGAATCGAGATGCAGTCATGGGCTTTCGGGTGCCCCGTCCCAGTAACTCACATCATCGTCAAGCAAAGTATAATACCGTATCACTGCATATGGCACATACTATAGTTTTGCAAAACGCTCGTGCATTTTGGTTTGCTACTCGTATATTTTGAACCGCAATATTTGCCGACTATTGATTTCTATTTTGTTTGATAATTTTACCAAACAGAAATATGGAAAAGATAGTGTACGGAATGTCATTCAATGCTAACATGCATAAGTTGCCAATAAAAGAACTCAACTTTACCCGACGGTCCATAGTTTCACTTCACATGCAATCGTTTTCTCCGTTACTGTGCATTTTTTCTCCCTCGCAAGATTACCACCGCGTGATAATTAATTTAGCTACGTGGAAGAGAAATCGTTGCAGAAGGCTTGAGCTAGTAAACAAACAGTAGAAACGTATTACACTTATGGTGCGCGAAGATACAGCATGCGGAACACTGATACAAATCGCTCAGATTTCTGCAGTGTTTTCCGTTTTTTTCTCAGCATGAGCAAATACAGGGTTTCATAATGCTCATGTGGTTTTCCGTGCTATAACTGTTAATCTGCACAGTGCGGTGTGCACCATTCGAAACAGAGGATGCATCCAGATATTATAACTGCACGGCACTGGAGGAATCATGTATGGAGTATGGGAATTCTTCCGGAGTATGGAGTATGGAATATTCTTCCGGCGGGGGCGTTTTGTTTTACCTTGGCCCCTAACCGCCCAAGATATCAGTCGATACAACCAACCCCTTGGCAAAAGAGTACTGCCGGGGAGTGAATTAACATGATAACTGCAACATTATCGCGCACATCAGAAATTGACAACGGCACAATCGCTAATGAGGTGTGATTTCGGCTCCATTGTGTCATTTGAGATGAGACGCTTCGCAAGGTTAAGCATATGCGTCTATGGGAAAAACACCCGTGCAGTCGACCTTTCAACGTGTATACACTCTTCTACTGGTTTTTTCTAAGTACAATCAAAGAGAAGTTATTCACCACAAAATTAGTACAAAATTAAACTAATCTTAACAATTTTAGCTATACCAGCAAAATATTGCATTCGGTTTTATGCAAAAGTAAATTATGTCCCAAGTTACAGCTCTTGCCATATACACGTAGCCAGGGCGGCGACTTCGCTGTACTTGCATGGCTTTCAATTTACTCTTGTACAGAACTTGTGAAGTGTGAGCGCCGTTTACTTGTTGTTACTCGATTGTGAAAAGCGATTTATGACAAGTTTTTAGCAACGACTTACAGAGTATGTGTTACATATAGCACTTTTCTACAATTTATTATTACCCATTTTTTAACTTTTACACAAAAATGAACTAGTGTAATTTTGAAAAGTTTAAGCGGATCGTGGGAGTGTTGCAGAGCAGTAACGTTTAAATTACAAAAACTATAACAGATATAACTAAAAGTAGTAACTAGCATCAACGACTGGCACTAATTTTATATATAATATCCTGAAGATATTTCAGACACCGTATGCCCGCCCTATGAGATCCAAACTAAACTTTTATTTGACGCGCGTTTTTTTAGAAAATCTCAGTCATTAATGATTAATCGCATTTGCTGATAGAACCATTCCATAATCTAAAACCATTCACTACTGGGATATGATTACCGTTTATATTCACTTTCAAATTCTGCATAGCCCCACACAACTACAGAGTACAGATATACTGTAACTCCAACATTGAACTCCCAAACAGATTTGCACCATGTCAGTTTCAATTATAACTTATTTAATTAACTATTGTTATATTAATTGATATTAAAAGAAAAATGACGCTGAAACAAGTTGTTAGATCGGATTCAGAATGGAGATTTGCATTATGGTTGTTAAGAAGTCCTATATGTCTCACGATACTGTCTCATCTGAAATGACAATGGCTAGGCACGCTACGCCTCGTATACCCTCGGCACGCCTGATTGTGCGGTTGTCAATTGCAGATATTAATTTCTTTGTTGCGATGTTTCTTAACTTTCGGAATGTCAGCTTCACGACGCTTTTCCTAATAAAAACAGGCTGCAAAGATTTTGTAAATGCATTTTGAGAATTTCAAAAATGCAAAGGGTGTATGTTCAACATGACCTCTGAGTGTCCACACATGCGAACCGGCAACAGCTCCTTTCAAGGCAAATCAGCGAAAGGCGCAGTATATACCGCATTAGCGCGTTTCTGTGTAGATGGGGACCTCCTCGAGTATTTTGCTGTTCAGGGATGCGTAAAAAAGTGAACATATCGGATATGATGATCGCAGACTTCGAGCCGCACCGTACCGCCAATCAGTCGCTGGATAGCTACTTGTTGCAGGTTTGCATGTAAGAAAACTGACATGAATGAAATCCATATATATTTTTTCGGATTGATGGAATCTGACACTCTTGCGATATGTGCAGAGACACCAAAGAGTTTGCTACCAATATGACAGAAAATGATCCCAAATTTGAAAACATAGCAAGAAGGTGTGGACGGGAAGCTGAATTTGTGTGGAGCAGTGGAATCGAATTTTACTCTTTCGCTTACGAATGTTTTTGTTAATAATAAGAACCATAAGAAGGTGGACAGATGCTATAGTTGCGGATCGGTAAATTGTCCGCCTATGTAACTGTCCATATACCTGATTTCTACTTAGCATTTAGTGTTTACTGGTAAGCCAAAATCAATACTATTTATCTTTCTTTCTTATGGTAATATGGTTAGTTAAATCGTGTGTAGTGTGCTAAATTGAGCATTGAATTAAATTCGAAAAAGCATCTATAATCTTTGTCGGAACCGAGCTAGCGAGAACCGTCCCTTTATTTCGTGCATTCGAAATTTGATCAACACCAGTTCAACTAGTGAGTCGCCGTTAGCTTTGTGTTATTTGGTTTATTTTTCCATCAGGTTTTTTTAGCGAAAAAGTATCTGCTGTTTCAGGCATCATTGAAATTTCGATACATCTCTTTTAGAACGTTCAAAGCCATCTTTTTACATCTAGAAGTACTCGTAATTACGTACTTTACTTGATAAGCCCAAAAACTTCAACTTTTTTGCTTTGTTTTAAGACATTCTGCAGCCAGATGATTTTTATACAATCATAGGCATGTAAACCATGAAAACTGCGAAAGACGTAAGCCCTCGTCCTCTTCCCTCGTGAAATAACTATTTCGCGCAGCAAGTGATCAATAAAAGCAAGCACGTTGTGTGTTTTGTAAGTAGATTAATCTTTATGAAAATACTGAATTGAAATATTGATTATGCGCATTGACTGTAATTCTTCTGGAATTTGCATCGGTACGAGGACAGGCTTAGTATTCGCGATCACCTAAAAAATTAGCGAGAATTCGCGATCATCGTGCCCGGGTTGTGCAGAACAGTCAGTCACCATCCAGCCACCAAGGGAAAGCAGTCCAGTGACACAGCCATTGGACTGGACCGCCTTCTCGTGGTGGCTGGCTGGTGACTGACTGTTCTGCACAACCCAGGCACGGTGATCGCGAATTCTCGCTAGTTTTTTAGGTGATCGCGAATACTAAGCCTGTCCTCGTATGCATCTATGTCGTTCAAGCTCAACACAACCATCGTGATTTTACTACCTATTTTAGTAAAATTTGCTCGAAACGAAATGACCTGCCACACTTCTGGAAAAATCGCTAACTTAAATTATCCGCGAATTCTGATCCAGCATTCCGATGAGTGAGGCGACGCGACGTGCGGTTTGTGGAGATAAAAGTCACCGGCATGGTCGGAGGTACACAATTGCAGCTGAGAGTCTTACCTGTCGGTACAGGCTGCTCACTGCCGGCACCCTCCGCCTGTGCCAGATTTTTTCGCCCTCCTTTATTGAGATAATAGCGTACAACATGAACCATGAGAACAACCAATGCCGCTGCTAAAGTGGGGCGGGCGGGTGGTTATCGAAAAATGTGCAGTTAGCAACAGGTGAAAAACCGTTATGGCAAACGATAGCGATACGCGATGCGCACAGGCAAGATGCACACGGCCCAAAACAGTGCCGGAAGGTACAGGGATGCGAGTACAGGGAAAACACAAAATTACGCGGTAATTTAATTTCCGCTAATTCTTAACTGACATTTTTCTTTTCCACCTTTCCAAATCTTTTGCAACATGCGAAAATGAGTGTTCAGAGCATTATGCTTCCTCCCACGCCAGTGGATGTATGTACAAGCCTGTGTCACAAAGAGGTAATCAATGCATTCAGGCGAGACGCAGTGAGTAGCGTACAGTAAGGCTATATTTTTTCTAGGTGTTTGGAAAAACTTTTCACGCTGGATGCAGTGGCGACATTTGGAGCAAAGCACACAGTCTATTTCAAACTTTATTTACTGTTACGGGTTGCCTACCCCACACGGTCACATCGTAGTAGCCTTAACGCACAATAACGTAACGTGGTGAAGCACCTAGAATAGCTCAGGCATTTCAGGGTTTTCAGGACCACCTATTCGTGAAAGTTGAATCGGGCTTGCATATCGCTTACTCCACTCTTCGATAACATTTTATATATTTTTGTGGGCTAAATGTTTTGTGAAACAAATTGACAGAATGCTCTGTCCGAACCGTGGAACGGGGCAGTGATGGTCTTTGTTGCAACTGCAATTCGAAACCATGCAATTAGTGGGGCTTTAATGCCGGCGCTTGTAGGCGACAGAAAGATTTACCGGTTAACGATGTACGATCAAAGAAACCGCGGCGGTGTTTCTTTATAAATATGACTGTTCGCTAACGAGCCAAACATACAACTAAATCCAAACTCACCAACAACACTGGATATTGCTATCCAGTTTCTACGGCGCATTATTCGTAGGGCAATCATCTAGATTCACAAGATACTCGTACTAACTTTAAAGGAGTACGTACATATTATTGTACTACAACAGGAAGATTCACCAGTCCGGCGGAAAGGTTACGCTATCTACAGAAAGCCTAATGCGGTCCAGCAGGATGGTTCAAGTAGCCTTCCTATGGTTCACGCGGCTTCTTTGATCGTAAAGGATTAAACGCGAAAACCTTTCTGCCGACTACAGGCGCGCACATCGTGTAAAGACCAGTACCATTTGCGTTTCGAACTACCGCATACCGTCATTATCATCGAATTATAAGCCCGGGGCTACCAATGTTAGAACGCTGCGGAGGGGCTTCAATTACGGGCAGCGGCTTGTATTTCGGCAGGGGGGGGGGGCTATTATATTTCAAATGTGTTTTATTGGCAAGGGCGTAAAAACTACATGATAAATGCACCGGTACCGGTACATACCGATTTCCGGTGCTCAGAAATTTCATTTTTCCGTGAATTTTATTAATGCCCCGGGCTTCTACTTGGGAGGGGGTGGGTTACAATTTTTGAACCATCTTTTGCGGGGGCTCCAATTACGCGAGGGGGGGCTTCAATTGTAGGTAGGAGGGCCTATAATTCGATAAGTACGGTATTTTCATCCAGCCATGCCAAAACTAGAACAGAATTAACTTTGGTATCTAACGAACTTTGATAAAAATCTGATTTTTGCTTATTAAGCGTATTGAAACGCTTGCACGAACATACAGGTTATACACTTCTTATCAGCTATAGCACTTGGGTAAGCCGACCACTCAATTGCATTTAAACCGATCGTTATTGACGAGGAGCGCTCCCAACCGCTCGCTGTGAATGCTTTTGCGCATCCGTGAACGCTTGGATCGCTCAGCGTATTGCCCCCGCTGACCTTTTGACAGAGACCTGACTGCAATAACTACCGTGCAAATTGTCCACCATCAATTATTGGAAATATCACGGAAGAACGTACATGTCAGTGTGGGTTGATTGCACTGGGGCGTGTTATAATGCAACAATAGTTTCCTGTATTACAGGAAACTACTGGATGATTTCAAGGAATAGCTCCCATGCGACCCAGTTGATTACCAACATTGTCCCAGTCGTGGAGTAATCTGCCGAGGTTGCTGGTTGATCATTGCACTTCCTTGTTTGAAAAGAGCAGTACACCCTCGCCCGACTGCAGTAATTCGAAAGAAGAGCAAAATCTATCGATCCAGAAAACAACCGGCTGTGTCGCTAGCGTCACGAGGCTCTGCTATGTGTCCCCGGTAAGTGGAGAGGCGAGTTTCTTATTAAAAACTTTTTAAATTATACTCAATTAAAACAACCATAATTTTGTTTGTTTGATCAAGCCTTAACGGGGGAACACTGCCAGTGCAACTGAATCATTAGGGAAATGGTAGCATGAAATTAAAATTTCATTTGTCGACGAGATTTATCCTAACTTGGAGCGCGCTATGCCGCCCAGTCAAATGCACACTGTGGCTATGCGCTTAAAAGAGATCAATAAAGAACATACATGTACCTGCGTGACTGTCATCACCCACCGTTACTACAGTGGGGCATTTCCCTAGAGCGTAGTAGCCATTGCGTACGTATACCTCGATGGCGCCGATCCTTTCATAGAGGCTATCTGATGCGACTACGCTTAATTTCAGGTTAGCTTTCTTTACATCAAACAACACATAGTGCAGATCACAAAATTTAGCGCATTGTATAACAATGACAGCCTGAAAACTGGCTGTATTCGTACGGGGCGTGTAAAGATTGGGTCACGTTGACCAACCGGCAATTTCAATAGCTGTCGCTCGCAATGTACGACATGGTCATCCAGTCCATGGCGGCATGTCTCCAGCAAACTTATGGCGATGTGCTGTATCAAAGGATCATCGAATGTGCCGGTATTCCGGTGACTGCCTTCAACACACACGAAGTGTACCCGGATAAATATGTGAGGGCTCTGGTACAGACCGCCGCCGAAGTGTTGGAGGAGAAAAAAGAACCGGAGTATTATTTGGAGATTTTCGGGAGGATGTTCGTCTTGGTAAATATGCTACACACCAGATTGCGTAGTATGATTACGACAGTTTTATGTATGTATGATTCCCTGCGAGAGATGTAAACGCTGGCAAATTGTAATTTCTGGTTGTAGTAGCCTTGTGGTGCTGATCGATGGTACAGATTATTATTGATCGAATGGTTTCATTGATAAGAATAACTCAACTGCTGTGTAATTAAGTATGGTGTTGTCTACAGTCTCGATCGTCATGGGATTCGGGATGTAGTAGTGACTTGTGCATCGCGTATAAAAAGTGCCTTTGCCAGTTGCCATTAGAAGAGTCAAAAACCGAAAGCTTTTTAAACGCGGTTAAACCGGATCGGTTCCGTTTGGCGTCAGGCATTTTTTAACAGAACGTTTTCTAACCCAACCGTTTAAACTAGATACCGTTTTGACGTTTTAATCGTTTTAATCTGATGGTGAAAAAAATGGTTAGCGGTTCGGATTCCGCTTTCTGCACCACGGAAGTTGCAATATTTTCGTACAGTATTCGAGGCCTATGCGGCACCAACTCCACGCTCACTGAGCATAAAGTACTGGCTGACAGCTTGTATCCGAAATGACCCATCGTTATGGCTATGATTCAAGTTTAGCTGCCACTGCCATTAAACAACTGGGTGTCATTCTGTAGTTATTTTTTTGAACATTCGTGAATTTTTTTAAATTTTAAATAGCGTAATATTGTTTCAAATATTTCGAAGCAAAGTCTTAAATTTCCTGTGAGTTACTTGTCTTGATAATAGTACGAGAAATTGTGAAGTATTTATTTCCTAGTTTTGTTGAAATTTTGGTTTTCGAAAGCGATGTGATACCAGGAATTACCGTATATTTTGATAATCTTTATAACACTTTAATTTCGATCGTGGTCGGTTCGTTTCCTCAAAAGTCACTCGCCTCAGTGATTTTAACGGAACCACATAAGGTCCTTTGCCGATTGAAAATATGGATTATGTGGTGAAGTTGAACCGATTGTGAAATAAATCGGAACTGGTCGAACCGTTGACACCCCTAGCTGCCCTATATTCTAGTCTAAACGCATTCCGAAGCCGGTAGAATCATACTTTGAATTAATTATGTTTTCCGTTTGGTCTGTTTATTTATAGAAATTAGAGAACCAGTTATGCGACTTACCATGAAACAGAAAGTATCGTAGTTATGTAATTATGTTAACGACAATAGAAGTTTTCGCAATTTAATTGCAGTATTGCCATACATATGGACATGACAAGGTACGTCAGAACGTTTTGTATGTATTCTCTGGAATGTTTAAAGAAGCGTGATGCAGATTCTTCGCGTGTCTGGCCGCCATTTTCGTGATTTAATTCGCAACATGAATCACCTTCATCACTGCATGCGCTATAGTTATCCCCGCATGATCCATCCGTCTTTTGTGGTTGTCGCTGAGGATGTGTCCGGTATGATTCTTCATTACGAGTCGATACGGCAAGGTTTTGCTCCCTACGTTACCGGTCAGGTAATCCACGAAATTAAAATGCATTGTTGGTGCTTGCCATAATTAGGGAGATTTCGAGTGAAACGCCGCAAAGGCCTGCTTCCGCCACATGCAAAACTTAATGCCGTTACATTACGGAACTAATGGATAACGCCCCATCGCGTGTCTTAATTACCACGAAACCAACAAATGTGGCTTTCGGTCGAATGATCCCACGCGTGTCACTTTCAGTGAAAAATAAGATTTATTTATACGATATAACAACAAATTCTAAACCAAGGAAAATATACAACGAACCATAAACCCGATACGATTCGGATACCGCTACGATTTTGCTCAAAATTTCCGATACGATAAAGCCGATCATCCAATAAAAACATCAAAAATTTTTGTAAGCGAAAATTCGCACCGGTCGACATTTACCACTGCGTTCCACAAAATTTAATTCACGATTTTGAAAGACAGGCGAATTTATTGAAACGACCTTTAAACAAAGACAGTAGTCTTTGTTTAAAGGTCGTTTCAATAAATTCGTTACGTGTTTTTTTGAGGCACAAAGTCACTACTGTACAAACACTACGGCCGTATAAACACTCAAACACCGTCCTGACCGGGCGGCCGAGCGAGTAAAACCGATGAATTCTCTAACCATAACGGAACCGGAGGCCCCCGAATGGCATCAAAAAAGAGGAGACAGACCGCGAGACAAAAAAGCTGCTTCTTACCGCCCGTAATTACAATTAACTAATTTTTTCAAGATATTGGTGCCAGGCGACTTTGGTGACGGTGTCTGTGACGAGATTTCGGTGGTTTTTGTACAAAAATTAAAAAATAATAAAAAAGCCTGTGTGCGGAGCCTGGTGGTGGTGAAAGGTCTTGTGCGGAGCCTTCCCCGATAATTTTTCGGATCCGGTGCGATACCGTATAAAACATTTCCGATGCCGCTTTTTCCAATGAAAACATCGGAATTATCGGAGTCAACGGACTTAGCGGAGGCCTCCGATGACTTATCGAACCAGCTCTGGTTTCAAGTATAGAAAAATGTTTGGGGCACGATAAATGGAGTGCATTGTAGAGGTCATCTGGAGTTTTCCTATATATACCGAAAAACGAACGGTGGAAAACCATTATACTCGTAGAACAACACATAGTTATGCATTTCCTTTTCTCGGACAGCTGAAAGAACTAGCCACTAACACCAAATTCTTCAACAAGTCGTATTTCAATGTCTGTGTGATGGAAGAGCGGGAGCTGTTACAGCGGGGATCCTATCTGACAGTAATGCGGTTGGATTTTCCGAATAATGGATATGTGGGATCAATGACCGGATACAATCACCACCTAACACCTCGGTTCCCCGGCCTTAAATCGCAGACGTTTTTCAAAATCCTTCCCTATAGTTTATGTGAGTTGGATCAATTCTGGGAATGATTTAGTCTGCTAGGGGTGCTGTGGCGCACATGATTGCAGTGGACCAAAATATTATTGTCGCGTTGTTGTAATCCGTTTTCTCAGTGGGATATAAGTTACATCTGGTGTCTTTTTGTTACAGTTCTGGATGAACAGTTGATCGTTAGGTTGTGTAGCAGCCGGCTGCAACGATTGTTTGAAGAAAAAGTTGCTGGTCGACCACTGGTAGAGTTCTTCCGGCCAGCCCACCCCACTTTTGATTTAACTCTTGAAGAGGTGCGACAAACAGTTTTTTGTTTAAAACAAGAACATTATGGCTATGCGTGCGTTTTTTTATTCGTAATTAATAGAACACAGTTGTTGCACAGGTTACACAGCAGTAGCAGTATTTTTGGGTTTCCTAAATTATTTACCTGTATTGGCATTTACAAACATCATCTCGCTGTGCCAGTCATGCAGTTTCCTTTAAAACAGATCGACGTTCGTTTTGCCGGTAATATGGCAGCAGAATAATTTAACTGATAGAACACTGTTCCTTTGTAGATTCTACATTTGCAAGATGTCGTCATAGAGCTGGAATCAGTGCCCACTATTCGCGTAGAAAATCCTTACACCAAACAGAATTTCCGGTCGCCTCATCGACTCTTGCTCAAAGGACAATTCAAACAATTTTCCCCGCAACGCGTGGTATTCCTGAGCTCGACGCCAACGTATGCGTCAAATTACCCCGATGAATTAGTGAGTTAGTTATTCCTGTGTTTTTACAGATTGAACGACCTATCCGATGTGGAGCGCATCGGCTTCTATTTGAGTGATCTGCCTCTTCACAGCGGCTCCGCGGAGTTAGCCGCTAGTGGATGGCATTCTCAGCAGATAACGTTCCGTCATTTTCAGAAAGAAGTTGAAAATAGTAAACAGCTGGAAGAATCTCTGAGAAAGCTAGCTGAATGGCAGCGGAGTGGCGATTCTCTGCTGATGTCCATGATACCAGAGTAAGGCAGTGCCCGACGCACCTGTATCAACAGTCAACCGTTAATCACTTAAATGTCTGATTCTGTCTAGGCACATAATCGAAAACATGACGAACACCGGAAAACAGTATTTTTGTGAGGTGAACAGCAACAAGGTATTTTACCAGGAGTTCTTGAGCTTCAGGTTTTTTTTGTAGCCATATGACGCCGTCACCATTATGTTCGTCCGATTATTTGGCTTCAACGTGGTATGGTAAGCCTTTCTTCATTAAGGGTTGGTTTGCACCAACAAGCATCCTGAAAGAACAAATTAACCTGATTATTGCAAATGTGTAATCACAGTTGAACGCGCTTCCAGATAATTGTGACGTATTTACAGTACATTCGGCACTGTGTCACCCCATGCAGTTTCATTCCGGCTCAATAACAAGCAACATAGTTTTGCGATGGGTTTTCTTCCTAATTGCCTTTATTTCCAGTTACAGTTAGGAATTAGGATGTCGTTTTTTTAAAATTTTCTCAGATTCATTTGTTCTTTAAAACAGCATACCACTTACCGGAACAGGAAAACATGCGTCTGCTCGCGCATCTAAACCATATATAAGGGGCGAAACTAGGCGTCTACCAGCGCTCCCCTGCTGTGCTCTCGTCACCGAGTATGACGTTACGGCAGTACGTATGGTTAAACCAGACGCGGTGCTTAAGGGATTTGGCCCGGTACATAGCACTAAATTCGTGTGCATTGGCGGGAACTTTCGCTGTCGCGCACTCCCAAACACTTTTTTGCATTGCTTTATGGTATTTTGTAGCCAAAAGAATTGTATACGTAGTTGTGAAATCCTTTTGCGCGCGCAACATCCGGTTGCGGAGTTATGAGGGCAACAAAATTCCAAAAAGTTTAAATGCATTCAGGTGTACCAAAAGTCTCATTCAGGACTGTCAAATATCAGCAGCCCGCTTGTATCTGCGGCACGACTGCTGCGCACGTATCGGTTACTCATTTTTCCGCTATGACTAAGAGAAAAAATTGAAACATGTTCCCACCACTGATAACGGATACACTCGTAGAAATAAACACCAGATCTGACAGCACCGTGAATTCTGCAATAAATCTGCCTTCAGTGCCATTCACTACCATGGACAACGCAACACAACAAGCGCAAACTTGTTAAGAAAAATGATCTCACATAGCTTGATGACATGTAATTAATTTTTTTCATGTGTAATAAATTTGCTAATTAGGTGCTAAAAAAACCAGGTGCGAAATTACTAATTAGGGCAGATTCGCTAATTAATTAGCTGTTAAATGTGCTCATTAGGCGTGAATGGCTCTAGTTAGTTCATCAAATTTTCGTTCAGTTACTAATTATTAGGTTAATTAATTAAACCTTATTGTCTTAAAACTTAATGACGAACTACAGTAAGTACAGCGTAATTACATACAGTTTAATGCAGCCTGGATCACTACGAACGTTTATTAGCAGCGCAGGATAATTTTAAAGAGTTGACAAGCGGTCATGAATGTGAGCGCGAATTATAAAACCGAGCTCAACAGCTCGGTTTTCTAATTCAGCAACTGATTCTCCATCTGACCAATGCGCGCGGCGTTATCAGTGAATCTGTCTGACTCACAAATCAGTGCGTGAGTTGTTGCGCACTCGAGAGTTTTGACCTAGATACAATTCGCATCCGAGTCCCAATACGTAGCATATTTGACAGCAACTATTATGGACCGATCCCTTTCAAATTTTGCACGCAAATGCACATAACCATGAAGATTGTTTTGGTACGGATCCAGACTTCTACAATTTTTTTCGAATTTTAAAATGAATTTCAAAAATTTTAAAATTCATTTTAAAATCTAAAAAAAATCTTAGAAGTCTGGTTCCGAACCAAACCAATCTTCATGGTTACGTGCATTTACGTGCAAAATTTGAAAGTGATCGGCCATAATGAGACTTTTGGTACACCTGAATGCATTTAAACTTTTTGGAATTTTGTTACCCTCATAACTCCGCAACCGGATGTTGCGCGCGTAAACGGATTTCACAACTACGTATACAATTCTTTTGGCTACAAAATGCCATAAAGCAATGCAAAAAGGTATTTGGGAGTGCGCGACAGCGAAGGTTCCCGTGGATGTACACGAATTTGGTGCAATGTACCGGGCCAGATCCCTTAAGCGCCATGTTCAGCCACAACGTCAAACTCCAGCCGGCTGACGGCAGCAGTATAAAGGAACGGTGGAAGATGCCTAGTTTTGCCCCCTGTATCAACTTCTGATGTGTCATACCATCATTTTATATAATCTCAATTTTCCCTGCTCTACAGTTCAAAAATTCCGCCGACAGAAGTGATCAAAGTCGTGAGTGAATGCTGGAGTGCGCTGGACACGTTAACTGGTACTTCTTGTAAAACTCCCATGTTTGAAATTGTTCTTATTTGCTGCAAGGTATACATAGTCAGCTTCCTGGTTAAGCTAATATCAGCTGTATACTTAGATAGCTATGATGTGCTGAAAGTGGAGAACCGAGGTGAAGAGTACATGGTATGTTGTTAACGACGACGTCAAACCAGTCAAGCTCGTTGACCGCTTGAAGCTTTCCAAGCAAAATATGTAGGCAAACAGACGATCCCGGTCCGATTACATTTTGAATAGGTCGCTAGTGGCATCCCAAACAGACATGGAAGCCAGCATGCCAGTGAAACCGCCAGTCTAGCGCTGCATATAATGCAGACGGTTATGGACATGGACTTTCCTCGATTACCCGACCGAAAGATGCAGATTAGGATCGGGATTAATTCCGGTAATCGAACCTTTTAAAAAGCAGTGGGAGATCATGCCAAAGCTGTACTCTGAGACCTTTTTAGTTACTTACATCAGTTACAACTTACACGCGACAATTTATGCGTCTGTCTGCAAGTTTCGTATACAATAGTTAGCACAAAAATCGATGCTTCGAGTTGAAGATCACTGCTAACAGGGCCTGTGGTTGGGGGTGTTGTTGGACTGCACTTGCCTCGATTCTGCATATTTGGTGATACTGGTAAGAAACCAACGATACGTTACAATCTACTAGAGTACTAGTGCATACGAGTTTAGCGGGAAACACTGTAAACTGTCGATCATGTACAGATGTACTCGTACATACTGTAGCTCAGAAGGATCAGCCATTCTTGCCACATTGGTAATACTTGTAGTTTTCTCAGCATAAATTATCTCAAAACTTGACTCGTAGCAACGTGCTTCCGCTTTATCAGTTTTCCAGGTGTTTGTTTCTGGTATCTGTACATGTAAATATTAACCACGGGATTCAATGCCTTTTGCAGTGAATACAGCTTCCAGAATGGAATCATCCGGCATTCGTAAGTCACCTTAGCGTAATAACAGAGCGCAGTATGAGGACTATGAATACGGCTATAAATACGAACAAGGGCTGAAGTTGTGTCCGTAAGCGCATCCGACATGTACAGAGTAAGGCGGCGTTCGAGAAAGTAAGCCAAGCGTCTGTAAGCCAGGCGTTCGAGACGAATCAAATGCTTGAAAGTTTTTAGAACAGAAGTTTTTCTCAGGCTAAATCGCTGCGTATTATTAGTTCCATTCGATTCAGCTGCTTCTCTAATTTTTCTATTGGTCGGCGTCGGCTTAGCGCAGTTTATAAGCTAGCTGCTCGTATTTGAACTCGTACAACCTTGATTTCTTATTATGCCATGTACATAAAGCCCGCTATCATTCAAAAAATCCTTTCAGCGTTCTGGAAAAGAGTTTCCAAACATTTTTTGACCGAAAAAACCAAAGATTCGTCTACTTGAATTTCAAAACTAACGGAATTCTAATATGATAGGAAGAACCGACAGCAATCCATGAACGCGGCGCTTTTCAAAAGATAAATTTCCCAGTGTACAGAGTACGGAAGTTTTACGAAACGAATGAGCCTTAGCATTTATAAACAAAGCAAATTTCGTATTCTGGTCCGTCTTCGTTGGCAGATTTACGCTCCAGGGCTTTGATACTTAATAGACCTATCATTTTGAACCGTATTCTGTAAAATGTTTTCGTCCTGATGAAATGATTCTCCTTTTTGTAGCTTTCCGGATTCAGTGCAGTGAGAGAACTCGAAACTATCTTGTGACAACCGGGAATTTTGAAATGAAGAAGCGTGGGATAATGAAAATCAAAGTAACTATCCAAGCGATGTTTTTCTGAAATATGACGCGCAATAATTAATAATACGCGCGCGCAGTAATTGGTTATATTTGGCATCTTTTTGCAGGGAAAAGGTGACATGAGAGTGTACTGGCTCATTAGTGAACATGGATCGGATTTCAGTATTGAAACTGAAGACTAAACATAATTTTTTCACTTTTTGTGATTTTAACGCGATATAAATTTTGCTTGCAACTTGCAGTTTTTGCGTGAATGGCGCTGCTTACCGATAAAAATGCAAAGAAGAATAACTCAATCATAAGGGTATAATTCTACACTTTTATTTACTTTACGATTCCGTTGATGCGGCAAATATTTCTATAACGGCTTACTGAAAAGCAGACGAACGTTCATAAGGGTCCCGTAATCGCCGGTGCCAACTGGTCACGGAAGCCGCGTCGTGGCTGTTGCGTTGCATGTACTGTATGTGTCCGGCGGTAAAATGTCTTCGCGGAAAAACGTTGTGCTTCGAAACTGTGTGCGGCGAGAAGTCACACTCTCACTTGTACGATTGCGCTAATTTGTAAAAGGGCTTAGGATTGTTTTTTCTCAATTTCGTACTAAGAATTGGTTATCCATATAACTTTGACATAACTAATTACACTGCCACAAAAAAAAATTGAAAGGTTTAGCGCGGATAATTTCGATAAATCAGCATTCTGCAATCTGTATAGCGGCCATTACTTATTGCGCAACGGCTTGAGCTGGGCGGGAACATGAGTTGGTTTGAACATGCCTTACAGCAGCGTTGAAAACTGACCGTACGAGTAATAATTTTAAAATACCGGGGCACCATGATGTTCACAGGAAGCTTCCGTGACTACATTCTACACGAGAAAAAGGATCCGTGTTCTAGAATGCACTTGACGCCGTGAACTGGATGAATCTAACATGGATCAACAAGCACGCTCTACTCGTCGCCCAAGTCGATTTTGCTTTTAATAGTAGTAAAGTCGTTTTTACTTTTTAATACTGTAGAGTAACCCTGCACTTGACAGCTTTTTCGTACGATATGAGCTATACGGCACTGTAGCACTGACAAACGTTCAGCTGGCTCAGAGCCGACTGCACTGCTCTCACATGTGCTGCCTGCCTAGTCACAGGCAGCGCATGTGAATGGTGAATGTGCTTGTACAACGTACGTCTCTCTGGGCTGTAAAAAAAGCTGTCAAGTGGAGGGTTACTCTACAGTACTGTACTGCTACCCTGCACTTGTCCATTTATTTTGCAGTGCAGGCGCACGTATGTAGCCGGCAAAAAGGTTGACAGGCTCATGGCTCACGGACCAAACCTTTTTGCCGGCAAAAAGGTTTGTTAACTTTTTTGACGGGCGAAATGGCTCACGATCTTCGATCATCGTAGCACAGGCGCCAGTGTGCAGATTCTATGCGATAACGTATTGAGATATTATATCCATAAAATGGATTTTGTTTTGCGTGTGTGTTAGCGCTGTACAGTACAGTTGCTACATACCATATCTTGGCCAACCGGTTATGCAAAGCAAAAATTTCGACAACAAATTATCGGGCAAATTTTAGTTAGCTCAGCTCCTTAAACCGTTTGTGAGAGGTATACAGACGTTGGAATTATTGTATTGTTATCGCTACGAAGGCTGGTTGACTGAGCGACTGCTTTGTGGCACGTCTTCTTAGGGAAAGGCACGGAAAACGTTATCATTTGGTGAAAACCACTCTCATTGAATAAATAAATACTATAAGCATACGTATCTGCGTAAATCAAAAACAGGTGCTTCCTTATGTTGTAATTTGCCATTCTATAATTAAAATATTGAAGATTTCTATCGTTTTCTGAATTAACATCAGCGCTGTGCGAGACTCGTAAACACTGAACAGTGCCAAGACGAAGGCTGAGAAGTGAGAAGCGTAGGTCCCGTGAGCCATCCTGCCCGGCAAAATGGTTCACGGTTATATGCGCAGACTGCGCACTATGCAGTCTGCAATAACTGTACAGAGCTGGAAGCAAGAATTTGCATTTTCATAATATGGCTACAATATTTGTCCGCGATAGTTGATCAGTCAGCACTCAGCAACCATTCTCCTTTTCACGAGCTACCAGAGCACTGTGTAACTCTTGGTAGTTATGCATTAGTTATAATCACAATTTGTAATTATAAGCATACTAAATTTGCAAACGTGCTACAACTAATAGTTTGTAATTTTCAAAAGTGCTAAATTTTGTATAGTCCAGGTTTAAGTGGCCAGTTGTTACAAGGAAAACGTTGATACAATTGTCGTATACTCTAGTTTATTTATACCGTGCATGTACTGAAATACTTACTTAAATTCGTGAGCCTTCTTGCCCGGCACACAGGCTCACGATCGTGAGCCTGTGTGCCGGGCAGGATGGCTCACGTTTGTGAGCCAATTTGCCGGGCAGGATGGCTCACGGGACCCAAGTTTCACTACGTGGAGAGTGGTATTGTTCACGAGTCTAGCGCAATGTTAATGAGTGCTGATGTTATGGAGAATTAAAATTGGAATCTTCAATATTTTGATGACAGAACGGCAAATGAAAACATAAGGGAGGGCTTGTTTTTGGTTTACGCCGAGACGTATGCTTGTAGTATTCACTTGTCATTTCGATTATAATAGTTTTCGCAAATTTAACAACACTTTATGATAAATTTAATAACGCTTCCGAATTTTTTACTACGTAGAAGTATCTGTACAGCAAATCAGTCGCTCACTCAGTCAGTCTTCGTAAGGATGATTTTCCGATACTCACAACGTCTGTTTACCTCTCATTAGCAGTCCAAACAGCTGATATAAAATCACATAAACTAATTTTCGGATAATTGTTGGCTTTACATTTTAATTTTTGGCGAATTTTTGGCATTACATTACCAGCTGGCGAAAGTACGTAGTATCTGGATTGTGTTGCGCTAACTCATATGCAGAACAGAACCGAATTTATTTACTTAATGCTTTATCGCATAAAATCTACACACTGGCGCTTCTGCTAAGATGATCTATGGTCGTGAGCCATTTCGCCCGTCAAAAAAGTTAACAAACTTTTTTGCCGGCAAAAAGGTTTGCTTCGTGAGCCGTGAGCCAGTCAACCTTTCTGCCGGCTACACACGTACGTTGTATGAGCCCATTCACGATTCACATACACGGACTGCAACTGCGTGCAGAGAGCAGGCAGCTGACTGAACGTGAGCGGCTTTAGCTCTCACTCGACTATAGTGCAGTAGGCTCAAACCGTACAAAAGTCTGGACAAGTGCAGGGTAGCAGTACAGTATTGCGATGTGCTTTTCGAGTTGCCGCTAATTGTTAGCGTTACTTACTCGTAAAACTGCAATCACTTTGTTGAGAAACTTTTGGCTGGATATTCAGACTCATAAGAATATTCAAAAGAACGTGCCTACCTGAAGCGGGGAGCAAAAGCAGTGAGTGTCATCGACTCAAGTTCGAATATTTTAGTGCGTTACATCCGTTATGAGCTCGTTACTGTGCTGTGCATACATTTTAAAATATGGATTTTTTTCCAGAACGCATTTTTGCATACTCACCATCAGCGGAACTTGGATTTCGAAAAACAGCTTGTACTATTTCCTTGCAAACTGCAATGCATCATCAAAAAGTTAATAAAGAACGACAGAGCGCCCGCCTGCCGCGCTCCTGGTTCGCTGCTTTACGATCCCGTCCACAGCTCGCCCTAGCGGTGAGTCTTCGTTGTGCTCGCTGGTTTTTGCCTAACGTCAGACGACCTGCAAACGCTGCCGGTAGTGGGTCTGTTAGCAAAGTCGTATGTCTGTGTGGCGTATATATTTCGGCAAAAAGCTCAAGATATGGGTTCGCTTGGTTTTTCTATCGTAAACGCGTGCATCCGGCAGGAATTGGAGGGATAGATGGTAAACATTCGTTGGAGTTGCATGATTCACTTTATTTCACCAGAGGTAAAACATAATTTTGTATTAAGTGAAAACATCAACATTTTTTATAACATCAGAATTTCATTAAACTGGAAGGTGGATGCATGATTTGCATCCAGCTTCCTTTTGAAGGCCGGCAGAATGCTGGATAAGTCGTTCACTAATCTGTCCGACTGCATCTACCCTCCCACCAACGTCAGGCAGATATCTCGAAAAAATGTTGAGGGTTCACATGTTCCCCTTAACGTCATACATTACGAGAAGAGCCGGTACAAAAAACGTCGATCAAAATCGTGTTCGCCGTTCGAAGGTGTTCAAAGTCGGCGGTTCCGTTGTAGATCCGCCTGTTAGCTTCGCAATCCGTACAAAAGTAGGTTTTCATTGTCTAAGGTACTTTGATAAACGAAAGATGAAATTTCTAAAAACTTTTATTTGAAATTTCAAATGAAATTTCTAAAACATTTTGCAGCGAAACCCCTCGTTGGTTTCGCTCTACGCGCGAAATTTGGCAATTTATGCAGCTTTAGGTCCCGCCAACGTGCGTTACACGAAAGTTGAGTCAGCTTAATTACTTTTAAAATACTTCAAGCAGTTTCTCAGAAACTGCATTTGAAATATTTTTTTAAAAGCCTATAAAGCCGTACGTTTATGAAATTTTGATGCGAGGAATGGAGGAATATAATGGAAGTGACTGTGCTCAGTTCATTATTGCTTACGTTCTCTTTTATTGCTTAAATAACCCGTTAAAGCGGTGTAAAGACCGAATCCGTCGATACGGTTGAGCGCTTCACTGTGCTTGCATCGCCTTTCCATCTTTGGCCCGGTATGAATTACAACCGCACGCCCAAATACAGGTTGTACTTTTGCACATGCACGGTTATCGTGCTTCTGTAACGCAAATAAAAGGGATAGCGAGCCGATTACCATAACCGGATGCTTAAGATCAATGGGCGAAGTTTTCTGAACTCGTAATAAACTTCTATTGCAGAAGTACAGGAATGTGCGAAAAGGCACGTGTCAGTGACCGAAACTTCGAAATACATAGATTTGTGAGTTTTTAACATTTCCATAGGCCAGTGTCGGATCCCCTAGATTCTAGGATCCCGAGAGTTTAATTAACAAATAAGTGTGTAATTTAATTCTTTTGTAGACTGGTAGATCAAATAAAAACGGACAGCCGTTGCACTTTCGAAATCCGTCATCGTTGCACTGTATGTTAAAATAAACAATACTAATACAATGCTGCAAAAAAAAGATCGCAGTTTATCTATATTTTTTTTGGAAAGTTTGCAAACAAAATATAGCAAACCAAAATGCATGAGCATTTTGCAAAACCATGTGCCATAAAGTATGCAGTGATACGGTATTATACTTCACGGTGTTGTGAGTTACTGGAACGGGGCACCCGAAAGCCCATGACTGCATCTCGATTCGAAAATTTTATTAATGCATTTTGTATTACTGTGTAAACTGTAAGTACGAACTTTTTTCCAGGCATACTATCATGGATATTTGCTTGATTAAAATATGCGATGGCGCACTTAACTTACCTTTCCGTGTGCCCCGTTGGGGTGAATGTGCCGATGATTTCCAGTTTGCGTAAGCACTGTCGGTTCAGTTCGCAGATAATGAGGCATTTTTTACAGAGTTTTGAGTGAATTCAAAATAGAAAATCAGACGAATAATTCCCTAATTTGACATTTTGAATGGCACATCGTTCGCCAGGAACTTGGTGATAGTAACGGCTTAACGCCCACTCTTAATTCGGGCGGTGTAGGCTTGTACTCACACGAAAATCGAGCTTACGCCAAAATTTCGACTTGGCGCATAATAGATAGGTGGTATACGGCATAACATGCCGGTTACTATGCGGCTGACTATGCCGCAACCTAGTTGTTTTTGTAATTCCCATTGGCTTGCAAACAAGCGGGCTGCCGTGTACAGCCCACTTGAACGTCTGTACGTACATTCTAGTACACTCACATTCAGTCCCGTAGCAACCAGTACTGTAAACCCAACGTCTGCACTCTGCAGTTGCAGTCTGCTTAAGACGTCGAACTTTAAATTTTCAAATTCAAAAACCCACAGAATATAGTTCCTGACGTTCGTTTTGCTTGTGTCGTTTCGTAATGTTTTGGAATATGATTGCCTGTGGACTGTGGTTTGCTGTGATTGTTCGGGAATTCCTGTCATGATCAGTTCGTCATGAGGAACTTGGAGTTCCAACGCACAAGCGTCAGTATCAATACGGGATCGCGTTCATTTGGAGGTTTGCTGTTTGGCTACAAACTCCTACGATAAAAATTATTTGGCAACTTACACGACCAAGACAGCACGTTTTTCGAAAGGATACGTCAGTCCCTTTTAGGTAAATTTTGCTGGTAATAATTCTTTTATCCCGCGGAAATTCCTGCCATACGTTTGCGCCATTTCGCTTAAGTATTGTCTAAATACTGGTTTAACATCACAAAAGTAAAGTCGTACAAATGCAATTTTGATAAAATTTTATTTGAATAAAAATCTATGCGCATATATGAATTTTGTTATCCAGCAGTTGTATTTTATTGTCTTTACAGGAATTCCGGGAATTTCCGTCATTAAATTTGCAATTAAATCTGGGAAAACCGCTTCTGCTGAATGAAATTATAAACGGTAAGTTGCATCTGTATGCAAAATAAAACAACTGCAAAACTGACAGGCGCTGGTGTGAAAATGATTTTGTTTGAATACGGAATAAGATTTCCAGTGTAGTGAATGTGCCCTGCTTGTGCCTTGTAGGTAGCCGGGCGTCTGGAATTCCCGATTGGGACCATTTTGGATTTTAATCAAAGCATTGAAGGCCACTTCTAGTTTGACGCTTTTAATTAGTATACTGGTTTCCAGACTCTCTGATTGTTCCTGTCAGCTTATGACTGTCGTTCGTTGTGCTTAATTTTATTCTCTGAATTGGTTTAGTCTACAGTCTCGCTTGAATTGATATTTTTTTCGGGAATTCCTGTTTGCAATACTGCGACCGTCGTACCTTAGTACTGGAAACGTGAATAAAATTATAAAACTGTAAAGTAATAATATAATCAAACTGTTCCTAATAAATCAAATGCCTTTATGCAACGTCATAATTTAAACGGGTGGGAGAAAATTTGTTATGAAACCAGCAAATCGCAGAGAGCATATAAACGGCACCTGCATAAACTCTGCCAATGGGAGCAGCTGTGCTGCCCAATAGCAATAGCATGAGCTCGTCCAATAGAAACGAGAAAAGCAGTTAGAGGTTGGCTCGTAAGCATTAGCCAATAGAATTCGTTTTAAAGCGACTCACAAGGCATACCAACTCTAGGTAGCCTATTCAAAGTTAATGGCCTCAAAAAGTGACTGCGGCATACCACTTACCAGTACTCACCGCAAAGTATGCCGCAGTCGTTTTTTCGTATGAGGTACAGTCGAAAGTCAACCTGTTTCCCCCAGTGTAATTTTTACACTGACTGTTTGCTTAATATATTCCGCGGCCCGACAGCAGCACTAAGATGCCCGAAATCTCGTTGGAAATCTACCTCAGGCAACACACGGGCCCTAGAGAACCCGACGACATGCTTTTGAACCACAACCCAGAGTGACCGCCCGAAAACGCTTTTACCACTGCTAGACGCAGACAGCTTTCAGTGATATGGTTCGTACCCCGATGTCGCGAGTTGGCAGTGGTAGATTCATTGCGGCAGAAATTGATAATCCAGACGTACGGCGTTGTTATACTTTATGGCAACGTCCTTGTAGAGCAACACAGCCACCCACAAGTCCACAGCGCACCAACGTGCACCGCGAATTCCTATTGTTCTTCCTAGCTGGAGAGAAAGAGTGGTGGGGCCAAAAACAGCCGGAATGAATCTGCACTGGTCACTGTATGTCCGGGAAGTCGGCGAAGGGGTGGTCGCATGTTGCCGGCAGAAAGGTGGACGCGTCGATGGTTGACGGACGTTCAATGATGGTCATCAGCCTTTTTCTAAAGGTCATGAATCTTTCCATCAACCTTTCTGCTAAATGCCACCAACCTTTTGGAGAGGCCATACGCTCTGGGAAACATTTCTGCAGTGGGCACAAGCCTTTTTTTAAGCTCATCCACGTTTTCCATGGTCCATGAATTCCTGCTGAGGATAACACTCAGGATCAAAGAATTCGTGCGCACTGATATCTGCATTTGTTATCAGTACCAAAAGAACCGCGAAGGCGTTGAAACTCATCTCTAACCGAGTCGCTAAACTGCAGTATCCATCGGCCGGGGTTTCCACTTTTCCGTTGTTTTATTGTGTGCGCTGATTTGTGTTTCTGTCGTCTTTGGAAATTCGCCGCACAGAAAGGTTAATGACCTTTAGGGAAGGTGGACGGAAAGGTTGACGACTTTAGTTCCATTAAAATGGTCAGTACCGCGGACTGCTTCCGGCAATAGCGACAGGTGCAGCACAGCGGATAACTCCTGGCCAGAACGGCAATAGGTGCAGTGCCGCGGATCACTTCCGGCCACCGAAAACTGCTGCTAGAAATTCGATAAAAAATACACATAGATAATTCTTTTTTTGTAAGCTGTGGTATAAGGAGGTTGGAACTGGATGGAGATAAGGAAAGAAGCCGGTAACCACAAGTAGGATTAGCTACAAATCACGCTGCAATCCAGCTACGTAGTTCACTTTCGGCCCATTTCACCTTTGCGGTCTCATTCTCACCCGCTTTTGAAATTAGCCTTTAATTTGTGCAAGCTAACAGTGTGTTGAGTTTTATTATGGACGCAAATTTCTTGAACTGCATGAGGATAACAGTCGGCCAAGCCTGTACGCGTACAAGATAGCGCATTGGGTAAGTCCATTTTCCGGCTTTTCTTAAAACCGACGTAATGCTGTGTTTAGAATCGCGCGGAGCGCGAACAAAATTAATTTTTTGGTGCTTAAACGGTGCAGTTTCACGTGATCTTGGTCAAAAAAAGATAAAATTATCACCCGCCCTATTTGTTACTCATTCCCATCCCATCTTTCTATAACCGCAATTCGCACCGCTTTTTCATCTTACCTTCACTCCCCGCAAATTAAACAGTTTTGATTTTGCGTGAAGATGTTGGTATGTATTGTACTCAGTTAATGTGTTTCGTACTTGAAAAGACAGGCCCATCGACTGCTAGCTGGCTGCCGAAATACACCTTGACGGGCAAAGTAGCAAACCGCGGCAAGGTGATCTGACAGTATTTGTACGGTAGAGATTAGAGAGTATAAGCTTAGATATGCATGAAACAAATTATTTCAACTGATCAAACATTTAGAATAAAGAAAACCCGAGCCGAGAAATTTAATTTAAAATTGAAAGACCCCAATATATAGATTTTACAATTTATTTGAATTTTACAAAAATGGACACATTTGGCAGCAACGATGGACAAACTAATTTCAATGATGGACACTATGTCCATTAACTGACACTATTTTAGTCTTTGGATTGGTTTAGAATACTTCTATAAAAATAAATCTACCAAGTACAACCAGTAATTTTCATCACTTGCTACTTCGAGACAGTTGTTTGTTGATGCAGGCTTGACCTCTGCAGTAGCGGTCATACTGGTGCAAGCTGAGCGGTACATATGTAGAATGGTAAGTTGGTTTTATTTCATTCGCACTCTAAATTTGTTAGGTGCAGAGGACAATAAACTCATTTAGGCAGGCTGACCCAATAGCACGAATTCCTTACAGAAAAACATACAAACAGCACAAAATCCGCAATATCACAAATATGTATTGTAACCAAACGGTTCAAACACCAAATATTCCGGCCACAGTCACTGTGCTACCAAAAACAATAAAAATTGTCAACAAACAAAAATCAGCAAAATAATGATGCAAAATGCGGTGCATGCTCTGCTAAGAAGAGGGACGAGAAAAAAAAAGGTCGTCTAGCTGTCCAGTGCCATTGTTGGTTGCTCCAGGTGGACTGACGGGTCAGCAAAAATCCACCAAAAATAATTGGATTGACCACCGAAAAACTCATTCCTGCAATTTGTTTCAGTTTAGTAGCTGGTTAGCTGGTATTTCAAAAAGTATAAAGGCATAAAAAAGGCATAAAAATTCACACAAAAACTATGGTATCTTACCCTGCTTTTCCTGGCTATTATTATATCCGATTTATTATATACCATCCTTTTATAATTTCTTAACAAACGTATGTCGCTTTATGTGTAAGCTTTTCTCGTTTGCATAAGAGCATCGCTTACCTAGACAGAAAATTGTAGTCATTGTTTGAGTGGAAATGCTCCAACGGAACAAATACCCCAGCATTCCCACATAGTAAGGCACTACAATGCACCAGGGCACCGTCAAGTAACGGCTGATGTTAACGGCTGAATTAATATTAAGGGATACTACGGGGAACGCGGTTTATGTTAGAGCCAACCAAATAAGAAGTTTAATTTGATCGTTACGCCGTAGGCAAAGTGCAATTGATATTTGGTAACGGCAAGTACCATTAATGCTTTCCAGCTGCTATACGTGCTATTCACACTCACCCCAACAAATAACGAAGCTGGCAGCCGTACTGAAAGTCATCCACAAGGATATCTTCCGGGTTTTCCGGTACAGCCGTTTACCCTGGCCCGTACTGCTGGGACACGGCATCGCGCTGTTCTGTGCACTAGGCATGGGTGTGCTGGTTTCTTCTATGTGACAGGGGCAAATTCTCGAATTAACGGCAGGATCTAGAGAAAAAGAATTAAATAAATTATTACACTTTCCTGAAAAATTTCGGTATTAACAGCCAGAACTGCATTTGTTGTTCCTTATAATTAACTGACGATTTATTATTACGCGGACTCCTACACAAATTATTTTTGTTTATTTTTGGAACCGGCTAAAAAAAATTCTGTTTAAGCGATAGTACTCTGTATACGTCAGCTCAAGTTTCCAGGCATGACAGTAACTGGCATTCCTCAGCTTGACAGTAATCGAAATCTAATGGGCCTTGATAATAGTATGTAATTCAAACATCCCGGAATCATAACCGGAAAATAGTGTGAAGTTGTTTCTTCAGTTTCAAACTTTCAATTGACCGCCTACCAGGACTCCCGGCCGCAATCCGTGATTCTCTGGTAATCGCCACGGAAATGACCAAATAGCAGATAATAATAATGCATAATGGAACCAAGCACATGACGATAAGAGTAGCTAAGGTGTAGGCTAGCTCTTGATCGGCGCTCGAGTAGAAGCCATGCGTAACGCACTGATAGAATTCGGCGCAAATAGGCGCGCGCTCCGTATGGAAAATCACCGCCTGCAAAAATACTCGATGAAGAATATTCTCGTCATTATTTCCCGTGGAATATTAACCAAGAGATATGCTGACACAATATCATACTTATGCTTTTTGAATGGGTAATATTCGACACGTTTAAGAGTTACCCAAATTGGCGCTTTTGGAAATTTATTTAACGAGTGTATGTACGAGTAAAACCGCTTCGTGGTAATCCATGTTACGTTGAATTTGATTCAGGCCCAGAAAAAGGCATTTTGATCTCTTGCAATATCCGTCTGTTTTTTTGATATTTTTACATAACATTAAAAAGCAAAAAACAATCGACCATACGATAACAGGTGCCTTATGGTAACTGTTATGTTATGCTCGATTGTTTTTTTAACATAAGGCCCCTAATGTCGCCTATGTGCTTCTTATGTCGCCCGACGCCTCGTACATTCTTCTGTTCATTTATGGTGTCTCATAAATAAGTCATAAGTCATAATATTACTCAGCTCAGGGTTAAAGTTTAAGGTTTAAAACCTAATTTAGTGCAGTTTTGGGTACCTTAATGTTAATTATGGTAACTTTTAATCGCTACAAATTTTTATCCAGTTAGACGATGCAAATTTTTGTCTAGCGACAACAGCTATCTTCAGCAATTAGACGTGACCTTGACCACCCTGAATGCTAATTCACCAACGATGACGCCTGTACAGATTATTCCGCAACCGATAATTTATCTACCTGTGGTACGCTGCACAACGACGAGACGATCCAGGCGAATCCGCTGATGGCCTTCACCCGCGATCGACTCTCCACCTTACTGGATTTACTCAGCGGAAAGGTCACAGTAATGCAGGTCTCAATGCTCATCCCGGTGAGGATTAAGTTTGCTGCGTATAAACTGAAATATATTTATTTTAAATCAGTGTACTGCAGCAGATGATATAAGGTTAAATATAGAAATGACAACAATACTTTACAAGGGAATTGTCGACGTGTGCGTGTGCGTAAGCGTTTAGACCGTAAGGCATGATCTGCGGCAAATTACAGCGTTCGATCCCGGATCAGAGCATTTTACTTTCATTGCACTAAGCCGGTTTCCCAGTGGCGTTTAATTTGTTTGATAAAAGAAATGGGTTTGTTCAGGAAACCGTGTGTGGTCTAATTGTTGGCTAACGCTGGCGGCGACTTCCGGTATATCTTGGTAGTGATCACATTAGTTTGGCTAATTTATCGTCTCTATCTGCGCTGCGTACCTGTTAATGATCTGGCAGTTTTTATGTCAAGTTAAAGAGACCAAAATATTCTAAAACGTAAAAATCTTTAATTAAGTAGGTGTTTATCGTTGACTAATTGTTCAGTTTCTGTTCATAACCATTTCGATGTTTTAAATTTTAGATCTGTAAATAAACCTTTTATTTATTTTGTTATTGCTGTAACTGAGGTACTGCCATAATTAAATCAAGTGCAGTAAAGCATATTTTCAGACTGGACACGCCAGTTGGTGTATTTCTGTATTCCCTAATTCTTTTCTGGAATATGGTATATTTGTTGATGATTTTAAAATTATGAGACGCATTTTTCGCTGAGCTGCGATCTCGATTTCCGTCGATACCACGCAACTGAAATGAGAAGCTGGCTATAATATTGAATGCGCCCACTTTGCGCAGGGACCATATGAGAAGCATTTGTCCGACGGTTAGCTTTGTCAACGCTTGCAGTAGAGACCAGCGCGAACACCGGCATGCTTAAGTCCCCAGTCGATTCTGATTATGTCGTGTATGGAAGTACTAAAAGCCGATTCCCGCCGTGCCATTAAAAGGCGCGCGTGTTTTACAGCTGAGCTGCAGCGGACAACGGCGTGCGTGCGCGCAGTCAATTACCCCGCTCGTTGCGCGCCGGATCATTACATCCGCGTCCTCCCTACTGTATCGGACATACTATCTGATGATTTTGACTTCCGTATCGTGCGACAATGCGGAAGTCGGAACCAGCACACCACTGCGTTGTTCGATGAGGGTGCGGTCTGCGGCCAAGTGGAGCGCACTGGTGAGATAGTTGTAAAACACACCTGAACATCTGGCAAAACTTGATGATTCTGCAGAGAAAATCCCCGCCCAACCACTGCACGGTGATGTTCCAAATCCCGTCAGCCAGCAGACAAAACACCGACACCAACAAATTAGCGGCAAACAACTGCATTGACTGCAAAAAGAAATACAAACAAAATTATGCCCCCGCAAAACAGTAAAAATATCGTTAGCCGGTTAGCGAACCAGTAGATTCAGTTTTTGAGCAACGACCCCAATACCGGAGCACGACGAATGGCACACAGAAGGAAGGTATCGTAATAGATAGATTTGTAGATCGCTATTAGTCCTCTACAAATTTTGCTAACAGTCGGAAAATCTCGGACGATCCCGTATTGTTAAAACCAAACACTAGTTACAATATTTAAAATGAAACATCTGAAGAAACCCCAGAAACCTTGAAAATACTTCTTGGTGATAAGTTCTTGTATAATATTGTTGTTATTATGCAAAACAGCGGTATCATAAACTTCAGCTGCTGAAGTTTACATGCTCGATGCAAACACCCAATTGGCCATAAGCACGAAACTAATTCACTGCATTCAGGCAAGCCATTAACTTTAGCATACACGCGCGATGCAAACGTCTAATTGACCATAACAACGAAACTAATTCACTGCGTTCAGGCAGGCCCATTAATTATCTCGCATGACATGTGGATTTTCGAGACGCTGCCTCATTTCTACTCGTAAATTATCTGTGTTTTCATTATTCTTAATCGCAGCTATCTGTATTATTTCAGGCGCACGATTACACTGTGGCTAAAATAGTGTACGCTCGTTAGCTCTCACCCTATGTCACGTTCGATTAACGCTGGCAGCTGCATATTTCTGTGTATCGTTGAGGCAGATCGGTTGATTCCGCATCAGTTTGTTTTCGAGCAACGCCATTTCAAAATTATTTCTTTTGCTTTATTGCCACACCTCACAAAGAAAATCAAAAAGCAATATTCGATAGTTCTGGAAAATTTTTCCTAATCAAAACCGAATTTTTTGTTATTTAAACTTTAAAGTGCATTTTCTTGCTTTTTAAATCTTCAGCATAGAGTTTTCTGTGAAATTTCAATCGCATTCCAGAAAACTGTTACGCATTCCGGAAGAGTACTAACCGGCCGAAAGGGAAAAGCTCGTGTGCGGTATCGTTGTCTTGAAACAACCATATGGTTGCATGGCTGTTGTCTGTTGTCTTGAAATAAACCGATACATATTCTGATTTTGTCGTAAATTCCCCCAGTTATTCTTTCTCTCGAAAGTTCCCAGGAATCATGATGAAGGAAAAGATGGCTTCTCCTTCATCATCGTTCATCATCTCCTTACGTCTTATTTTTTCTTTACATAATTATGTAAGTGCAGCTCAGTCCGTGTAGCATAATTACTGGGTCTGGGTGCCAGAATAAAAGCGGGATAATTATTCAACGATCTGAGATTTTGTCGTTACAGAATTACTTCAAGATATACGCGATTGCTAACCTACCAGTATGCTCAGAGTCGAATGACGATACAAGGCACTCTTCAGTAGGAGCGCGATCATGCTGGCATTGAGCACCACACCGAAACAGGCCAAACTGAGCAGAATGCTGATGTAGTTGTATCTCTGGGTTAGGTAGCCGGGATCGCTCTGGTTCAGGAACATCAGCACATCCGCCGAGCTGTTTGTTGTGCAGTTCAAAAGGGCATAAAAGGCAGCGTTTTCTTCTGTGGAGTCCATGTCCTAAGACATTCGCCGATGGTCCGATGTACATTGTATATAACAACCGAATTGCGAAAAACATGTGTACAACGGATTCTCCTCGAAAGAATTAGTGACAACCTGCCCAGAGCGAACTAACCTGGCGATGTCGGTTTAAACGGCTGTGTTATGGGAGTTGTACCACCGAATATCCTTACTGCTATTCTTCCCAGGCCGGAACAAACCAGCCTACCGGCTTAGCATTCCAAATGCCATAAAAATCGCGATGTGAATTAAATAAGTCTGCGGCGGTCGGGCCGTCTGAGAGAATTCTTAAAACAAAGAATGCACAAGAAAGTGGTATGCGTGCTATCTAATAGCAGAAAGAAAATTAAGAATGTTATGCCGGCTGCTTGGATTGCAGTGTGCAACTGGATTTGCGTGTATGCTGCAGATCAACATATGGAGACTGTTGTGGGATGTGACAGTTTGTTTGAAGCAGTCGCTCCTCTCCATCAGTGCTTATCTCGTTGTATAGACCAACTGGCTGGCATCAACCATCCCACACACTACACCGCCCACCCATAGCAGTCAACTAAAATATTTCAAACTGGACAGGTTTATTTTATGAAATGCGATGTCGAGGCCATGGAAGCAAAACCCGAGGCATAATAAATCAAACACTTCGGTCGGTGGGTGAATTTTGCGCCGTCAAAATACGAGTAACCGCACTGAAAAGTGCGGTTTTTTCTTCGACTTATTTGGAAGTATCCCCGCTCCATTCATGAAATACATTTTCCGTATAAACACTGAAATTGGCTAATGTGTCACCCGTGTCACCCGCAGAAGATACCAATTTCGGGTTACCTGCGTCCTGCACCTGTACGTTAGGTATCCTTATTATTCAGCCAGTACGCTTCGACATACAAGGCTATGGAGAGACACCTTAATGAACGTCCACATCAAGCGCCGATCGCGTAAGATCGTTGTGATAACCCGCAGCGGACAAAAACTGCGTTGCCAATAGATCTGATAAAAAGCCCAAAACAGAAAATTTTTTATTAGCAAAATTTTTAACGGGCTGGTTATACACAGCCATTAATCACTGGTGAGTGGGCTGGCACCGCGGCATTTCGCCGAGGAATAGTCGTCCTTGGAATTCAATTGAACTGGCGAAATGTCACACTCCCAAATGTCCGGGTGCGGGTGGGCAACCCGCTGGCGTACCCGAATGAATCTTTTCTAATGCTGCTCTCGTAAAAAAATTTACACTAAAACTCGGGACCGATGGGGAAGCGGATGAATTAAATGAGATTTACCTGTTGTAACTCGTTCTTGTATTAATCTATTATGTGTGGATACACTGCGCCTTGTGTTTGATTTGACCAATAAAGTTAGCAAAAGCTTTTGAATTCAAATTGAATCCCCATAAATCTGCATACTTACAGTTACAATCGTGTCGCTTTTTCAGTAATTGTACCTGTACCTGTAGGCTTGATTTATCCAAATTATTACCACGGCTGTCCAGTTGACAGAGCCTGCTAGGTTATTTCCGAGCATAAAGCGAGTCGTGCACAGTAAAGTAAAGCCACAGAACAACGCCTATGAGAATTGTGAAATAAGTTTTAAGTGCATGAAATAAGGTTCTCACACCGATTCACTTTTCTAGCACGTTTTTCAAATAGCTTACGCTTAATTATAGAAGGATAGCGGTTCATAAAGAGACTTTTAGTAAATATTTGGAGTTCTGTTACAACTATAACGCCCCTATCGAATGTTGCGCGCATAAACGGTTTGTTTATTTATGTATACAAAGCACTTGACTACGAGATGTGATAAACCAATTAAAACAAAAACAGTCTTTGGGAGCACACAGAAGTGGAAATTTTGTTGTGAGCACAAACAGTGTTCGTGCCAGCGTGCGAATCATTCAGCTACATAGTATCATAAAACAATTTAAAATAATGTTTATGAGTGCGGTGCGGGAAACCGGTGAGGGAAACCGGTGCGGGAAACCGGGAAATCAACTTTCATGCATGTACAATACACTACGTGGACAATCTCTCGATTGTGTAGCGGCAGCTTCGGTATAAGAAAGAGGAATACTGGGATTTAAAATAATTTCGGATTTGTGTATATAAAAGGAATAATAATAGTAGGGGAAAGAATTTTGTGAGTGCATGAAAAACATGAGAGGTTGTGGGTGTTTCTTTACTACAGTTGGGAACTTGAAAATTGCGCATTTAGTCAGTAACTTTCCATAGGTTTACACAGTCATTTTGGTAGTAGTAATATGTGTAGTCAAGAAAGGATTGCTTAGGCGCGATTCAAGTATTACGTAACGGCTCAGGGGTGGGGGGTGGGTCCGGCTGGCGTTACCCGCCCATAAGTAATACATGGATAAAGGTCACAAAAGGGTGGGGGGTGGTCGAAAAAGTTGAAAATTTCCGTTACGTAATACTTGAATCGCGCCTTAATGGAGCGAACTATTATTTCTTGCACTGAGAGTCTTGGATGTGTAGTAACGGGTGGTTCGTATATCGGATGTAGGCTAGGACGTACATTAAAGGTTGTTCGAGAAAATGTTTGGTTAATTGGTTTGTTGACTGGATTTTTTAAGTTCGGTGGGTATATTAGAAGTTGAGGAAAGTTGTGTTTAAGTTATTATGGATTTGACGAAGCATATGCAATGAGGAAAATGTTTTTCTTTTTGGTTATTTTCTGATGGCCGGTTTAGAATTTCGGAAGCGTACTGATTTAGGTTGTTGCGTATTGTTTGGCTTTGGTCTTTTTAGGTTGAGTATAATTTGATAAGTTTTCTTTCATAGTTAGTTTCTTTTAAGTATTGGTTTTCTAATAAAATAATGGAAACTGTTGTGATCGCAAGAAATACATGCGTGAGTATGTGCGTGATTATAGAAAAAAACCGCAAAATGGAAACTGATGGCAATTGTAGCAAGGAAGATAATGAAGTAGCAAGGAAGATAATTTTTAAGAACATAATTAATCGTCCGTTCTACCTGATCCCGTTGATAAAGGTTTAGAGCTCGAAAACGTATGAGCAATCTTTTTGAAACCTATTTTCTGCACTTAAAAGACGCAATTTAAAATATTTTTCAGGAGAAATACTTTAAGGCCGATCATCAGTTAAACCACCATAACCAAACGGAAATAGATTAGGATACGCTTTTTTCTTCTAATCCAGTTTGTGATTTTCAGTCATAGAATAATTCCAAAATCAAAAAACCCGTTATTAGAAATCAAAAAATCAAGCGCCTTATAGACAGTATTAAAATCAACAGAATAAATGACTTTTCGACTACAATTATCAAAATCATTTTTTTTAGCTTGACATACAGCTAGTAAACAATCTGTAGCCGGACGTGGTAGCAAACATTCGAAATTTTCACTAGGATCACTAGTTACATGAAATAATTGCACTACACATTTTGTTAAGCTATTTTTTAAATGCAATATTGTCGAAAAAGGCTGTACTATACGCACTGCCTGGACTTCCATTTAACCGAGATCATTTAACCAATTTTCTCTACCAATATCTAAACAATTTCGCCGTAAATCGTAAACACAAAATCAAAATTTTTATGCTCACGAAAAGTCATACATCCTGCACGTAGTCTAGCATCAGCTGTTAAATCACTATGTAACATTCCTGAATTATCACCATTCAAATCAGATGCAACTAAAATATTGCAACAATCGCACGGCAATAAGCAACCATGACCTTTCTCCAATAATTTTTTCCAAACATACCAGAAACCGCACCACCTTTAGTATTCCAATTACATTTTTGTTTTTAACTTTCACATTCTCATATCTACCATCATCACCACTTTCTACATTGTCCTCCCTGCTACAATTACCATCAGTTTCTGTTTTGCGTTTCTTTCTATAATCACGCATATACTCGCGCATGCATTTCTTGCGATCACAACCACCTTCCATTATTTTATTAAAAAAAGAATTCTTAAGCGAAAATAATGTATGAAAGAAAACTTACTCAATCATACTCAACCAAGAAAGACTTACCAAAGCCAAACAAAAGACAGCAACCTGAATCAGTAAGTATCCACAAATCCACACCGGCCACAAAAAAAAACCAACAAGAAAAACATTTTGCTGACTTCATATGCTTCGTCCACTCCATAATAACTCCAACACAAGATTCCTCAACTTCTTATATACCTACCGAACTCAAAAAATCCAGTCAACAAACCAATTAAACTATACGTTTTCTCGAACAACCTTTTATTGTACCTACCAACCCACTTCCGATATACAACCACCTGTTCCTACACAACCAAGACTATCAGAGCAAAGCTTAATAGTCTGCTCCATTAAGCATTCAATTTTCTGGAAATTTCTTGAATTTTCCACAACAATCCATCACCATCTACAATCCGCAACACACTTCACTTCCTGTAACACTTCATTAAACACTCAAATACGAACAACCAGAAAGTCGTATATATTTATACCATACTACTGTTACATAATTTATGGCAGAGCGAAATAAACGGAAAAGGTCACGGCGGTGTAAGACCGGCCGGTTTCGTAGTCTAATATGTGGTGTTTACGGGAATATGCCTAAACGGCAACGAACGAGACGGCAAATGCGAGTCAGGAATTGTTATTGAAGGAAATCGGACTGTGGTCCGAGGCAACTGTCGGAAAAGCACAAAAACAGCGGTATATAAAAGCAACAAGTGGAACGGTATATCAGATAACAGCATGTACGGACATATCGCCCTTAACAATCAGAAAGCGCATCTCATGAGAATCGGCACATACTAAGTGATTCAGGCATTGGGCAAGGGAAAAGTAGCGAGCCTAGCATCAGGTCAAAGTCTACATGTAACACTACAGTAAAACTCTCATTACCTTCACCCTAATTCAATGTAGAACCTTTCTTCCCTACACTGGATTAGTACACCCTTTCTTCATTATCACTTTTCGTAAAACATATCACCTTCAATATAATTTACTATATTATTAAATTCCTTATTCAGCACTTTATATTCCTACCCCTTATAACCTCCACATACAATATGCTACTGCAATGTACTCCTACATTATGCATGTAGGAGCATATTGCAATGTGCTCCTACATATGTAGAAGCACATTGCAGGAGCATATTGAATTACGTTTGTTTGGATACTACAATTCCGTTTTTCTCCTCCAAGAACCGATGCAATGTTTACTACATAATGTACGAGCACATTGCAATGTGCTCCTACATAATGTAGGAGCACATAATGTAAACTAAAAAAGATGCCGAGCTAACAACGCCATCTACAACTTTCACGCATCATTACTCGACTCATGTCACATGACTCATGTCACATGACTCGTGTCACATGACTGTTAGGCCCCACCGCTTCCTTCAACCGGCCGGACCCTTCCGTACTCTACGGGCGCCAAAATTTTTTTTTTTACACACGGATATCGAAGACCAAAAACCGAAACTACAGTTTCATACATGCTACGACTGATTCTAGTCGTATACCGCATATAAGAACCTGTCACGGTTCAAATGAACCTGCCGCAAAAAAATTCGGCGTTGCGTATGCTGCCGTTAGCCGATATACTCTGTAATCGTGGCAGCAGTACTGTACTGTCATTTGAATATTTTGGCAGGGGATAAAAGGTACCACTGGCAATTGCCAGTGGCAGTGGCATCTGCCACAATGCGTTCTGGCAAGCGATAAAAGGTGGCAGTTGCCAAAAACGGTAAAACTTCCGCTTATTCTGCAAAAAACGTCAGATTTGTTAAATTTGGAGTAGCTAATGTGACCCGGTTATATCGCTTGAAAAATATAAAAACCGCATTGCCCATAAAAACAATCGACTTTAAGTTTCTGATGAAACCTGAGAAGCCTATGGCCTTACACATTTAAGAAACCAAAAAAACCTAATAAACTAAAAAAACTAAAAGGCACAAAATCCGAAAAGCTACCGAAAACCTAAAAAGGTGGTTCCAGTTATGGATAATGGTTTGGGTGGTGGTAGCGGCAGCGGCGCTGGCAAACTTAATGGCACTGATGTCGATCTTAATTATCGTAATAAAGCTGATAGCGGCTGCCGTACCGCTATCATGCAGTTTGTTTTGTTTTCATGTTTCCGTCCGTTTCGTTTGCTTGGGTTTGGAGGTTTGTATTCGACTCTTTGGTTATTTAAACCTGGTTGGATTAGCTTAATTTCAAATTTGACAGATTTCTTAGGTTTTTCATTCTTGCTAAGGTTTCCGGAAGTTTTCTAGGATCTAAGCTTTCTAAGAGTGTAAGCTACCAATATTTCACAGTTCAGATTTGTTTCAATATACAAGTATCATGCTTATAATGCACAGCGCAGTATAAGTTAATGTAACAGTACATGTACAGTGGACTTTATAAATGTGGTTACACATAGCCACCCGTATGCATAGCGCTATCGGCTTTAAGAGTAACCACATTTACGAAGTCCATTGTAGCTACTGAGCTACTGACGAAACGATTCGAGCGGTATTGTTAGCTGCGCTACAACGGGACTCGGGCGCATGGCTGATGCGCTGCCTGCACCAAATCTGCATTATTTTTGCGGGATGAAGAAGTACGAATCGGCGTGGCACTTCGTTTCGGACTTCCAGTAGTAGAAGAGCACGA